TCTCCTCCTCCTTCCTTCCTCCTCTCTCTCTCTCTCTCTCTCTCTCTCGGAACATTAATTTCTTCACTTTAATTCCTTTCTTACTTACCTTTTTATACGATTTTCAAATAAATTTGTATATTATGTCAACGATATCCTGAAATTGTCATCACACCAATTATCCTTTAACTAAAACTAACTGGCTATAATTTGTACAAACTTTAAAAGATTTTTTATCATTTGCTTCATTTCATTTCATTTTCTTTCTTTTTTTATTTCCATTCTTTTCCTTCCTTTTCCTCTCCCAAATTAAATTACAAAATTCACATTTCACAAAATGAAATTTAAAATATTTGAATGAAGGGAAGATTCTTTTCGCGAGACTTTAACATTTCACATTCCTTTTAAAATTCTTCAAATTTAACCAAAAAAATAGTTTGCAATTTGATCAATTCCACAAATACTTTTATTTTAAACAAAAAAAATTCATCTATAAATTAAATGAAATTTATAATTCTAATAAATGATAAATCATTAATTAAATGATTTATTTAGAGAATTGTCACTTATCATTTATCTATTACCTAAATTGATTGGTTATAATTTTTCAAACAATCATATTATTGATAAAAAGTTAATTTCAATTTCAGCATTTGCTTCAACTTTGAAACTTTCACATCAAACAACAAATACCATTTAATATGTAATGATTTGTATGTGATCAAAAAAAAAATTATAAAATTTTTTAAAAATTATGAAATAATTCTAATTTCATAAGTAAGAAAATTTGATATGTGTCTTTTTTGAAATTTGAAAAAATTTTTATTCTTTTGTTTAATTTTGAAATTTTCAAGTTTCTTTAAAAACTTTAAAATTTTCAGAATTTGCATGCTTTTATATAAGTACCCTTTTTTTTAGCATTTCAGGTAGGTAATCCGTTTTATTCGCAATAATCATAAATATTTATTTGAGATTTACTGAATGCACGAAATTTACTGATCATTGAAAACTCATATACACAATACGCTGGAATTAATATACTGAAATACTGAACTTGAAATGCAAAAAAATATGTACTCAAATACAAGAAAATATTCATTGCAACATCTCTGCAAATATGCAATAACTTCATTCAAAATTAGAAAATACTTAATGAATTAAATATGCATTGGTTAATTTTAACATTGAAACAATATTCATCAATGACAGATCCTTTTAATTTTTACTTTATTAATTAAAAAATTCATGAGTTTTTATTCCATCAATTAACAATTTCATAATCACTTACTTCATTAATTAACAACTCCATAGTTTCTAGCTTTACTAATTAGCAATTCTACAATTTTCTGTTTCATTAATTAATAATTTCATAACTTTTTAACTTTGCTAATTAACAATTTTATAATTTTTAATTTTTTACCTTATTAATCAATAACTTCACGTTTTTTTTTACTTCATTAATTATAAATTCAATTGTATTGAGTTCAGTTATTATATTTTAGATATTAGAAGCAACAATAATAACATTTTAAGAATAAAACAACTTGCAAGACAACAAATAATCAACATACAATAGAATAAGCAAAGTAAGCAACTAAATAAGCAAGAATTAATTTAAAAAAGAATTTTTCCTTTCTTTATTTTCATATTTTTTTTTTTGGGAATTAATTTATGTATATTGAATTTCAATTACTTTAACTGGTTCATGATTAATCTTTGGCCGTTTCAAATATGTTCCAATAATTTCCGTTTCAATCATAAATGGATTTGGATTGATTAATTTTTGATCTTTATCTTTATTCATATTTGATATTAAACAAAATTGTCGTTCACTTTCTATCTTCTTTATTTCACAATGCATTGATAAAGATGTTTTATCAATTGTTCCATTATCAATAGAATTGTTATCATTAGTAATTGTATTATCAATAAATTTAGTTGATATACATGAACGAAATCGTATACGTTCATTGTTCTTACATTTGGTCCAATTACTCCATTCTTGCCAATTTGATGATTTCGTTAAATCTATAAATTAAACAATAAAGGATTATTTCGATTATTAATTTCTTTTTCTTTTTTAAATTTAGTACTGAAATTTAGTAATTTACAAGTTCTATTGTAGTGATTATATCAATTGTTACAATAATTTCATAATCATATATTTGATTATAATATTCTAATGCATATCTAATTATACATACCTGTGCATATATTCATAATATATAAAATTATTAATCAATAATTCCTATCTAATATACATATCTATGCATATATCTATTACACATTATTTCGTTTTTTTTTTTGAGACGAAATTTTTTAACAAATTTAAAAAGCAAAACATCAATAAGTTTATTAGAAATGAAAATTGAAATGAAAAGAAATGATATAAATGAATCAATCAATAATCATTATTCTTTACAATTATACGGATAATAATTGTAAGAAAATTAAAAAATTCACGAAATAGGAGAATTTTATGAATTAATAAGAAAAATGTGAAAATATAAGAAAAAAACAAAAAAAAATTATATATTAAGAAAAAATACACTAATAAAAAAATACAATAAATAAATGAAAAGTTTATTGAAAAAAAAAAAAAATTGACATATACATTATCATACAGTATTGGAAATTAAAAAGAAAGAAAAAAAAAAGAGTATTAATTACTTATTCATTCATCCATAAATACTTTCTTTTTTAAATTTGTAATTATTTTTAATTGGTAAAATAATCGTAGCTATTCATTATATGCAAATATTGGGAAACAAAGATGAAGAAGTTTTCCGAACAAATATATTTTTACTATAGAAAATGAATTGGTCAAATAATATTAGCTATCTATTACATGCAAATTTTTAGGAAACAAAGATCAAAAAGTTCTTCGATTAAAAATATTTTTTATTATAAAAAATGAAAAAGCATAATAAAAATTCTTTTGTCCAAATCACTTTTTTTTTTTTGCAATTTTATAAATTGAAATAAAAATATACAATTATTGTATGTGAATTTAAAGTAATGTTTGAAGAAAAAAAAAAAAAACAAAATAAAGAAATTAGAAAAACAGCTGGGTTGCAAAACTTGCTTGATAAAATTATTTAATTATTTTTATAAAAAAAAGGGAAGAAATTTGATATTCTGTAAAAATGAATTAGAGAAATTTTGAAAAGAAAAATTTTTAAATTTTTTGATTTTTAAATTAAAATCTTTCCTGCTAATATTTTTCCATTTTTATTCATCTTTGCTTATAAATTCTTGCAAATTTTTGATAATTCTTGAGTAATTGAGAAAAAAAGTATTAAAAATTCCTTCAATTATTTTAAATGGACATTAAAAAAGAGAAAACTTTTTTTTAACTTTGAAAAATGTTGTTTTCAATTATTTTAAATCGATATTTAAAAATATCAGCTCTTTATCATTTCAAACAGATATTTAAAAAAAAAAAATTTCAAGATCGTTTCAATATTTGTCTCATTAATTAATTAGTCGTTTTTTATCACTTTAAATTATTATTCAAAAAAAAAATGTACTAAAAAAGGTAGCAAGAAATTTATATTAAAAATATCAGTTTTTTATAACTTTGAAGAAATTTTAAAAAAAAATTAAAATTTAAAAAAAAAGGAAGGAACGTAAATATCATTTTCATATATCAATCATCAAATAATTAATTATTCACTGTTACTTCTCATGACAAATATATTCATCCTTTGAATTTTTTTTTTTTGCTAAAACTTTTATTAAAATTAAAAATTAAGTGAAAACAATTTTTTTCCTTTAATTTTGCTAGTTA